AGTGTCGTTGTTGGGTTTAAGATCTCATGAGAGTTGAGTCTTTATAATAGGTGTATTAAAATCATGCATCTAGAGGTTTTGTCCTTGGTCATCGGTGGAGGATGACATGGTTGTGTTGAATTGTCGTGTATGCATTACACCTGTGTTGATTGAACATTGTATATAATGAAGTGCTACAATACATTATATATGTATAATTGTTAGGGAGGAGATATGTGATGTACTCCAGTGTGTGAGAGAAGATGGGGGATGCACTCCACACACCTATGTGTTCATATACTTTAACACATTGCTTATGTATCTTGATAGTTCATGTGTGTGCATTACACTTGTTCGTTATGCTCTGTTGTATTATAATTATTGGTGTTATACACTGCGCTTATAATCAGAGGTACCGTTACCTTCCAGCTAGCGCCTGGAGAACTGACTTAGCCGGTAGAGCAGAGTTTTATTGTTTTTGTCTCAGTGTATCTGAGTATATCATGGATCGCAGGTTACAGTTTTGGAGGGCCGAGTTCCTTCATTTGTTGATTATATACATGTTGATGATTTGTTATCTCCCTTTTATTAAAGGCATGCATGTATATATATGAATGTCTTGGGAACAAACCAAAAAACCATTGTGAGATTTTGGGAAAGTGTGAAGGAAAATTGGGTAGTTGAAAGTATGTTTTGAAAAAGGGAAAAATCTGTTGAAAGTATGAAAATGGGAGAAAGGTAGTGGGCTTAGTGAAATTGTTTTTTTAAGATGTTGTTATTGTTATAAAAGTTTGGGAACCAGGGATAATGAAAAGAAAAGAAAGATGAATCGCTTATAGCGTTGAATGAAATGGCTGTTTTTGAGAAAAGTTCATACATATGTATATTTTGTATAAACTATCACCTTACTATTCTAGTATGAGATTGGGCATTCATGATCATAGCTATCTGTAAGTAGTTATAATTGAGGATCATGTAGAGATCCTTACTGGACTATATGTTCATCCCACGTTGTTGAATCTTTTTTAGGTGTTAAGCAGGATGTGCTACAAGATTTGGATCTTCTTATTTGTTGGCCACGGGGCCTCTTTTGTGTTGACGGAATGCCATATATGAAAAAGGGTTACACCGTTCTTTTGATTCTTTAATGATTGTAAGCCTACGGGCAGTCTATTTAGAATGCTCATGTTGTATTTTAATTTGCATTCGAATGAGAGAATTGTTATTTATTTCTACTAGTCGAACATTTGAGCTTATTTCCACATGTTATCTCTGAAATTGAATTAAGTTCATGAATTTGGTAATACTTTCGAGTAATAAAAAGTGGGGCGTGACAAATCAAATTTTAATCAAACTTACCATATAATTCTAAATATTCTAATTAGCGTATTGAACTAGTCAATTTTGGTTTCTAAATCCGTTTGGGCCCTTAATTTTTGATTCCAAGTAGGTATTCTAACAGATATTCCATGAACAAATAGATAAGCACAAAATTAAACATAGAATCATCCAATTTTCTTAATAAAATAATATGCAAAAATGATATGCATGTCGGGGCTGTCATAGTGACTGTCGCCTCTGTGTACCCATCCTCTATAACTAGAATGTCACTGATATCCTAGGTCTTCTTGAAAACCTTTCTAGCTTGGCAATGCTTTGGAATGTCAGATCATGTTCGGCCAAATCTAGAGGAAAAGTCCCCCAACAACTGGTTGTGGAGCAAGGATTAGGTTGTCTTAGGGGTTTGGGTTCAAACCATAGAAGTCCTCAGCAATTAATGGTGCAGCCGGTTGTGGATGGGCTAGCAAAATGGAGAGAACTCCGAGAGCAGGAGGGGCCACTGGTGCCCCAGGTGGGCCTTTCATGTCAGCTATAGTTCTAGCTTGAGCCATGACTGTCTAGTTAAGGGCATCAACAGTAGTTTGTAGGGCAGTTATCATTTATGTAATCTTAGTGGGAAACTAGGCCATAATTGAAGATGATATTGAACTAGAGAGAGACTGATTGAACTGTATTGCTGGTGGCCGGTTAACTTTCCTCCTTCCGATGGGTGATGACAAAAATACTAGCATAGGATGTCCTCGAACAAGATCACTTACTTTCCATAGATAGCCTGGATGAGTACATTGAACCTGGGGAATGCTAGGTCTCTTCAAAGCAATGGTGTTGAACCTCCTAGCAAAAGAAAAGGAAAAAGGATCCCCCGATCAAATAGTGCCCTTGTAGAAGCTCATCAAAACTAGAACTCTGTACTCAAACAACATTCCCCAAACTGATCTGATAGAACCTCTGTGCCTCAAAAGAATCTCTATACCTGTCCTAGTATATAGCACATGGAAGGTAAATGAAAACTAGGATTTCTCTATCGTATTTTTTGGAAGTGATCTAGAGTTTCTCTATTCACACAAAGAGGTATCACAATAACCTAGAGAGGGTGAGTATCTTGTCTTAGTTTTGGATGGTTCTACAGTTCACTATATGCAGGGGTAGGATAAAATCAAAGATGGTGCCCCAACATGATCACCTAAATACCTCTTTACCCCTTTGTCAAGCAGCGAAAGTGTAGACACCCCATTTTTGACCGACCTTAAGACTCAGACGTCACCGATTGAGCGCTTGGTGATGTTGCATATTGTGCTCGTTCTGAGGTTTCAAAGTTTCGGCTGCGAGCCTTGCCTCCGGACTTCGGGGCTCTTGCGTGCTTTGCCTCGGTTCGCGAACCAGGCTCGGTTTTCTCTGTTTCTCTTCCAGAAGGGAGAGAGAGGTCTCGTAGATCATCTCTCAGTGGCCGTAGGCTACGTTTCGTGGTCGTAAGCCATTTTGCCCGTTTGGAGTCCGGTTTCCGATTTTTCAGAGCCGTTGGCCGTGTGCCACTGTTCGGGACCGCTTAACCACCTCTGTTTGCTCCGGTTTTTGGCATGCATGTTATTTACTCCCTTTTGAAGGACACTGCGGTCCGAAAAACCATCTTCGTGGTCGAACACCACTTCCGGTGCCTAACAGTCAATTTTTGGGGCCTCGGGCTGCGCGTTTCGGCCCCCCGAACCTCCATTTTGCATCGGTTTGAGTTCATTTTTGGCAAGGACCTCTGTTTCATTGTTAGGAAGGTCATAGAAGGGTGGGAGGCCAGCAATTGTTCTGACGACCATGTTTTATTCCTCCATCGCCTTCCGTCGCCCGTTTTTCCCACTTGAAAGCCAATGCCGACCACCCTAAGGCCACTTTTTCTTGCCCCAAACCACATATTTGTGTTGTACACACCTAGGAGGCCACCAATATCATATGGCCAGCCAGTAATTGTGTGTGACCCTTTTGAACCCCTCCTAAAAGTGGCCTTTTCCCTCTCCTGATTCATTATCTCCAGTTTTTGATCACATGGTTGTGTTGTGCACACATGAGAGGCCCTCTTTTTGGCATGGCCGGCCATTAATCTTCATTGACCCTTTTGACCCTTGGCCGATCGGCCATGGGGAAGGTTGACCGGCCACCTAAACCCTAGGAAACCGGCCGGCCATGATCCTCTCTCCAGGTACTTTACAAAAATGCCCTCTGTTTCCCCCCAGATTTTGTATCCGGGGGGGCCAACTTTTGGAGGGAAATTTGAATTCCATTCCCCTCCTTTTTTCCCCCCTCTTTTGCCTATATATCCAGGCCCTCCAGCTCCCATTTGAGAGGTTAGAAAATCTTGTCTAAGCCTCCTACATTGTATCTCTCTCTCTCTACACTCCATCCCTCAAAACCCCTCAAATCCCACACCCCTTTCTACACCACCACATAGCACCACACCACCACCATCCTTTCCAACACTTGGAGCTGATTTTACAGAGCTTAGGAGCACCTTTTCTCAAGCCAAGAGCTGCTGAAGCTTGGTCTACAAGGGTGAGTCTTCATTCTCCCTCTTTTGTGCTTTATTTTGTTCTATATCTAAGCCATACTTTATTACATTTTTGGGCTCCGATCCTAACTGAAAATAGTCATTTTTTGATGTCTTTTTCATGATTGATTAAGGGTCCTTCCATGTTTAAGGTCTCTAGCTACCACTTGCTTCTTTACCTCTCTTGTATGCCTTTTTCTTGCATAGTATTTTAGGCTCATTTGTAAACTGTTTTGAGCTTGGTCATAAACTGAAAAGTGGCTTATTTTGAGCCTTTCTTCAACATTTTTGAAGGGTTCTTCACTGTTTGAGGCTTCCTTTTGTCACTTGCCTCTTCATCCCTCTTTTGGCCTTATTTTTGCATGTTTTGTTAGCCCCTTTTTCTTGTGTTTTTGGGCTGTGGTCCAAACTGTAAATAGCCTTATTTTGATCCCCTCTTCATGTTTGATCAATGGACTTTTTCTGTTTGAAGCTCCCTTTTTTCTCTTTGTGTTTAAACCTCTCTTTAGGCCTTATTTTGCATAGTCTTTTAAGCTTACATGTGCACTGTTTTGGGTTTGGTCACTAATTGGAAAATACCATTTTTTGAGCCCCTCTTCAACTTTGTTGAAGGGCTCTTGGCTATTTAGGGCCAGCAGCTGCTACTTGCTTCATTATCTCTCTTTTGGGGCCATTTTTGCATGTTAACTTAGCCCTATTTGTGTTCACTTTTTGGCCTTGCTTAAAACTGTAAATATCCTTGTTTTGGGACTGTATTGATTCTGTCTTCACACTTCACATTCGAATAATGCATGCTTTGAATAGCCATAGGTCATTCCATGTACCTA